AGAGGAAGAAAGAAAGAAAGAAAGATGCGGGAGTAATCGGGATTGTTGGGGCCTGAATTTACGACGTGGACCGCGATAACCTCGATAGGCCGACATGAGCATATAGCCGTCTTGAAGTCGGTGAAGCGTCTATCGTGACTCCCCCTTTTCGCGCTATGAATTTTACACGCTCTGAGATATCGCGATTGTTCCGGGGAATGTAATGAAGACTTGAACAAAGCAAGGCAGCAATTTCAGAAGGTTACTATTAAGCTTACAAAAGAAAGGTAATTTCTACAGTTTCGAAGAGATATATCATACAGCTCGATGAATTTTCAGATTCCATCGAATATCACATCGTTTCATATCAATCTAAATCTCCTCGTAGTTATGCAATTGAAAGAAATTTATAAAGTCACTGATGATACTAATTAAGATTGTGCTTCATTTAGTACATACAATAATTTTCTAGTCTTTTACTACACATGAGATGGGTCGTTTGTGTCTCGAATTAATTTTCATCACTTTTACAAATATACAAAATTATTAAATGAACCTTAAATATATTTTAACATCTTTAGAAAGTGTTTGTAAAGTTGTATATTAAAAAAGAAAAAAGAGAGACCATTATTTAATGTTTAAAGAAAAGAAATGTGTAGGACACGAATAATCTACTCATCATGATTAAATCATGTGTACTAAGAGTTAATTAATCTTGTCATTAATTAATTTGCAATGTTTTTGAATTATGTATATAAATGCTTTAGGTATTTAATTAGAAAAATAGTTACATTTAATAAAATACAAATAGATATCCAGCGTGATTATTCTGTTCTTCGTACATCTCTGAACGACATTAAACGCGTTCAAGAAATGATCAAAGCTGCGATGACCCGAACTTGAAGTGCTAATCAACACGTTATATATATGCATGTGTAAAACGTGGAGATTAAAGTGCGAATACGAAATATCGAGTGGGCCCAGGTATGGCGGAAATCGCACGGGATAACGAGACTGAAGAGTGCTAATGTATTCGTCAGGCGGATTATCGAAGCGACCGTGTTGGGCGACTTAACTCTGTCTTTCTTCTTCCTCTATCGTTGGGCGATCGTTCGGGGCCCACTTGTCCCGTTCTACTCCCTTCGCGTCATCACGAACCTGCGGCCCTTCTCAGCTCTTCTCCGCGTCCTTCCTCACCGCACCCTTAGACTCTCTTCTTCGTTCGCTTTCCTGCCGGGCCCTGTAAGCTAAATATAGCTAAGTTCGTGATATAAATAGAATAACCCTGCAGGCCAAGATCGCCAGGGTCAGACCTTGCAGCCCTCTTCTTTTTCTTCTTCTCCCTTTGCTTCCTCCGCTTCTTCTTCGGCTCCCGATCCCTCTTCTTTTTCTTCCCGCTCTGCCTTGGCTCTCTGTGATTTACTCGTCTCTTGCTTCGCTATACGATCACTCCAAAAATTTTAACACTTCTTTTAGATTCTCGTAATCTCGACCTTACGCGAAAGAGGTCGATTCCTTCGATAAGAGTTCACCGACTCGATTCTTTCATGCTTGTATCCTTGCACAAGTATTTAATGCTGGAATGTTACAGTTAGCATTCTCGTATTTTAATGTTTTAGCGGCGATGGACACTCTCATTTAAAGTCCTGGTTATTTCACGAGCGTCTTCCGCTGCTATGTATAATATAGATAATTAAACGCGGAACAGCCATAACATCAGCAGGCCACATTCTCGAGTGTAGCAGATGTCTGCGTTTATCACGATATCGCGTGCTACCGGTATCGATCTGGTTCTCGTCGAATCGTGACACTCTCGGTTAGAAAGTTATAAGGGATATGGCCGATTGAAAGACTGCTCACCGAAGCGTCTCTAATCAGTCCAGTTCACAGTTGTGCTTTTTGCGCGAGATTAAATGCCGTCTCTAACGACCTAGTACTTTATACGGGGATGCGGTCGATGGTGCCCGCGGAATATCCTGCGTTTATCATTCTGTACGAGAAGCGGAGGTCGTAAGATCGAAAGAGTAGAAGAAGAAGCAGAAGGTGGAGAAAGAGCGAGAGAGAGAGAGAAAGGGAGAGGACAAGAGAGAGAAAGAGGGAGGGAGAGAGAAGGAAAAGAAGAAAATGAGGAAGACGCTCGACCGACTCTGGCCAGGGCCGTATCGGCGGGATTAATGGCAGTGACATCCCGCTCGTGGCCAGATGAGATTCTCCATCTCACCCGCGAGCGAGAGCGAGAGGAAACGCTATACCAACGTGCAACGATGGCAGCGAGAAAGAAAGAAAGAAGTATGTGGCGAACAGAGGAGCAGGGGGAAAGGTCCAGAAAAAGAAGTCAACGACGAAGTGGAGGAGGAGGCGGAGGGCGGTCGATGTGAGTCGAGTGCGTTGACCTTAGGATTCGATGCGCGTCCTTGAGGATACCAAGATGGCGGGTTTATGCAACCGGTCACAATGGTATCTGCAGGCTGCCGCGCTCCTCGTCGCGTTCTATTTGACGCACGACGATTCAACGCGCTTGCATTCTCTAGGGATTCTCTCCCTCTCGCGAGCGTGCGCTCGCGCACGCATACACACGCGTTTCCAATATACGCTGTACATGCACGTAACGCGCGACAGTGGTCGCAATGTAGGAGCCTTGTATATACGTTCACGTGGGTCGCACGTACGACCATCACGGACGCGAGCTCGAGACGCGCCGTTAAAGCCAGTCAGTCCAGTTTCCATCGCTGCAGCCTGCACGGACGAGTTGGGAATATACGCGGCGATTCGAAAGGAAATCAAATCCGAGGAAAGGCCAACGAACGGCCTGGACACGCCCGGCATATACATAACATTGGTGCCTACGTATGTACATACGTAAAGCTAAATGGAAAAACACACCGCGGTCCTTGCGATGAATTCCTCGAACGTTCGCGCGAACGATGTGTCCCCGCGGCTCTTCCGCGTGGCACTTCTGTCTTCGGCTTGTCACCCGTCACGCCGCATAAACCGCTTTCTTACACCATCCCGATTCCTTACTTGGCACGACCATGATGAACGAATGTCTTTCACTGCGCGGTCTGGAAATACTGATACTTTACGTTGCGTATCTCCGTAATAAATCACATCCGTTCCTTCATTTCCTCTGGATTGAGAAACATCAGTTTGATATGCATCTTGTATTTTGACTAGGACGAATTACTCGTACGTGTTCTTTATTAAAAAGGAAAGAAAAAGAAGATATCACATAATTCTCTTATTTCGATAATTCATCAATTTGTTTCCATTGATGTACTCTCTAAATTCTTTAAAGTGCAATCTTACCCTAAAGAGTGAAAATTGAGCCTCTCGAAAAAGAGTAGTTCAATCTTTAGGAGTCAGAATGGGATTCACTCTAAAAGTTTTAGGGAGTAGAGACTAATTTGAATCTCGGTGTAACTTACTCTCCATCTTTTTCTAATTCTTAGAACTAGTAAAAGATGAAAAGTAAGTTGAACCGAGATTAAAGTTAATTTATATTGGTAGAAATAGAGGCATAATTCTTGCGAGATCATTATTTCGATATTCACATACATTGGAGTTTATGTCCTTTGTTCCTTACATGCATGGAACTGGAGTGATGAAAAAAAATACGTATATGGTACTGAGGACGGAGTATGAGAGGCGAACAGTTTTATGTCACCGTACATGTATGAGTGATACATTTACGTCTGTAGTTGGTGGTGGTGCATGTACGTAAACACGCGTCCGTCTCGTAAGTCAAAGCTCCTCACACGTGTGTCCGCGTATGTAAATGCACACACGAAGCAAGTAGGGATCCTTGATCCTACAGGAATGCAGTGCTAGCGGCTGCCCACGCTGCCTCAAGTACTTCTTCGTTTCTTTTTCTCCGACCCTCACATTGTCCCTACTTCTTTCTTTGTTTCTCCACGGCATCTAATCCCAGCAGGACCAGGCGTAAAGTGCGAGGCACCATCGGCAGCACGTATGTCGTCGTCATTCTGTAGCGTCACCTTCGTTGGCATATATTGTGTCTCTCTGCATCGCTACGTGGTGCCTAAAAATAAACGCGACTCGTTCTTGAATAGGAGATATTTGACTTTTCTGCGCCCTAAAATTAATAATGGACGAATAAAATATATAAAAAATATTCAAAAAGCAATAATTAAATAATAACGATAGCCGAAATATTAAATAAGAAACGAGCATATATTTTTAAGCGTATTTATACAAAAAGATGCATTCTATTGTGACTATTAAATAAAGAAATATTTAATATAATATTTATATTTATATATTAAAAAATATATGTTGTATAGATGTTTTACTTTCTAAGCAAATGTGTTTTTTGAAAAATATCAATTATTTGTTTTGCTAAGCTTAGTTTAATTTTTTTGTTGAAAATAAACTTGCTTAAGAATAATTAGAAATAAATTGTTTAATTCAACAGATATTCAAATTACGCTCATACAACAATTAAGAAATAAACACGCACTTTTTATCAACAAATAAAAAAAAGGCAGCAAGATATTACGTTGTGTCGGTCTCTAGTCTCGAGTGCCTCGACGAATTACATACATACAGTGTCGTTGTTAATTCCCCTCGCTTTAACGTCCGGCAAACGAAAGATACTCGGGTTTCAACTCACTATGTTACTGCCGTCATGCAGCTCTTGCGTGATCGAACGAGGCACGTCCCCCATAAATAAACTTTTCATACATCAGCGGGAAGAGTGGCCAGCGCAGAATAAAGCACACGAAGATGAAATCATACCTTGCGCGCCGCAGGATACACCGTGCATCCACACCGACGGTGTCCGGTAGCTCGCAGCAGTTTAATCGACGTCCTGCGAGGAACTTTTCCTCCCAGTGCAGCGCCTGCGTGAGCGCGGTTAAACCAACGCGGCAGTGGCAGCGTATACCAGAGAAAAGATCATCTTCGATCTTCAAGGTCGACCGCATGCGGCTCGAGGCCTTCTCGCGAAGACGTCGATCCAACCGCGGTGAATTCGTTCGACTGTTTTCATCGTCTGGCAGCTGTTATCCAGCCCCGTTTCTCCGTAGCATTCGTTGCTCCGCTCTACGTCCCGGGGCGCGACTACTTACATTTATCGATTTAAACCAAGTCTCGATATGACGGAGCAAATGACAGAGAACGATGCGGGCGAATTCGTCGACGAGGTACTTTCTGCGGTAACTTATGGTATCCCTAAAAATTCGATAATGCGCGATTCATTTTTGTAGGACAACGGGAAAAGGTTATATCTGAATACTGTGGTCAGCGATGATCGCGAAAACTCGGCATCGGAGAATGAAGAATATAAAGACGAAAGAATAGAGGAGGAAGAGGAAGAGAAGGAAGATATTTATAAAATGGATGAGTTTTTTATTTGGGACCAGGAACCGGGAGAACATGAATATGAGGAGGAAGGATACGAAGAGCGGAGTCTCGAAGATGAGGAAGCAGAAGAAGAAGGAGATGCACCATCCGAAGATATTGCGACAATCTCGACGGCAGAAAAGCTCGAAGAGGAAGTGCAGCAAGATGTGGTGGGGCCCGATCACGTGCTCGCTGAGATACCAGTCGAGGTTCGCATAAACTTGTCATTCTGCGTCATTCTGCCCGTGGAATTACTGTGCCTCACGACCTTCGTAATATTCTAAGGACTTAAGTCTCCCTTCTCATCACGCGCCCTCGCACAAATGTGTTTCCGCATTGTATACGTGTTCCGTCGCTATTGTGATCGATTGAAATGGTAATAATAAAAGGCTTTCCCAAGCATCTTGACGTGTTTTCATAAAATTACGATGATCGTAAAGTGTATTGCGATATTAAAAAGGACATACTTATAATAAGTTAAGTAGCAGTATTTGCACTGAGACTTTAATTTGATTGCCGGTGCAGATTTTTGCCAGTCGCGAGGCAATGCTCAACAAATTAAAAGAACTTTTAGCTGAGCAAGTAGAATTACGAAGAAAAAATAGACTTCTTGAGTCGTGGATTATCGCACATATGAGAAAGGTTAGATTGTTCAAGCAATAGTAAATGTTATATACATTTAATTTAATTTCTATTTTGCACTGTTAACTGCAAGTTTTATTTTTTTATTTTTTCGATTGGTTACGATTAAACTGACGTATGTGAAAGTGCAGCATAGAAATAGGCGCTGTCTTTAATAGAAACGATTCTTGCCACTCGCGATGCATTTATGCATGCAGATGCAAGAGAAAGTGACACCCGTGGATACGACAAAGGAATCCGAGCAAATGGAGCAGATCTATAGACAAACGTTGCACACGTATAAGCAGTACCTCGACGACGTAACGGAGCGGAAGAAACGGATAGCAGCCGACATGGAAAGCTATGAAGACAGAGTGCAAAAGACGCGCGACGAAAACGCGCGAGTGTTCGACGAACTCCTGGATCGTGAGAGGGAAGTGGCGACGGGTCTCATTTACGGGAAGACCGGACGAATGCTCACGGAGAAGGCTGTCAACGAGATAACTCGTCGGCAGGTGTAACTTAATGACCGTGAATCATCACTTGTCTATTACAGCAATTATGTGACGTACCAATTAAATCCGTCCGACGTGCATATACGTTAGTCGCGGAGCTTACATGAGGATTTCTTCATTGCCAGGTGTCACGACGCGAGATTCTCGCTCGTAATCGTTACGAGTACATCCTCCTGCAGCACCATCTCGAAGAGATAAAAATGCAACTGCGAAATCTGGAAACGCTCGGGGAAGAGATGACCGCTATGGATTACGAGGCTTTACATATAGCTCACGTGAATTATAAGGATAAATTGGACGAGCGTGACAGAGAACTCGAAAAATGGCGCAATAAGTACGTTGAAACGAGCAATATTACTTTCGCGGCTACATATTAACATAATAAGTTATGTAAGAGTCGTATTCCTTGTCGAATGTTCTTTTGATCATCTTGAAACCGATAAATATCGTCTCTGGCGCTTTAACTTCTGCGCTGGCGATATTTCATGGATTGCATTACTGATTCATGTAGAGCTATCCGGCGAAATGTCCACAGTGTCGCAGCTCTAGTATGAAAGATCTTTGACTTAAGGCGATGAATGAAATTACTACTGATGTATCTCTCTAACCATCTATCCGAACAAGGACTTTATTAACCGTTTGTTGTTGGCAAATCGAAATTAGAATCGCTGAAATGGTTAACGGAGTCGCTCACTATAAGGAGAAGGAGACATGCCTCGCGGAGGATATCGAGTTTGAGGAACGCGAATTGAACGAGTATTGCGAGCAGACAGCCAGAGTTCGAGAGGATGTCAATAAACTCCATTTAATTCTGAGAGATTTACGATGGGCTCACGACGAGAAGAGGCTCGAAGGCGGGCTGCTGATGGCTCCGTAAGATCTGTTAATTTCGTGTGTAGCGATTTCGGTCAATGTCATTCACGGTTCATCGACCCAGACCGGTGCTGCGTGAGACGGAGAGGAAGATGAAGTTGCTGGACGCCGTGAGGAACGACATTGAGATAATCAAGCGCGAGATTCACCGGTACGGCCCTGCGAACGGGAGGAAGAAGACGAGCAGCGAGGCATTGGCAATGTCGACGATGACGCAGGAGAAACCAGATCGTTTCTAATAAACGAAATCCTCTAACGTCTCTTCCATGAGGATTTATTTACCGACTGTATCTTTTAAAAATACGTACGGGACTTGAACGTAAATAAACATCGCACCTTCTTACCTTTAAGCCATTCGTTCGTGTTCCTTCGAAGCAAGATTCACAACTAGCCAAGACGCAGCTGGTACAATAATTAGTTAATCTCGTGGATTAATCGCCGAATGATTGATTTCGCACGCGGACATCTTATATGAGAAACAAACCATACTGGCGTAAATCACTAACACGCCCACATACGCCATACTGAGGCACTCAGCTTTGCACATGAGCGCGATAAGTCGTTCGCATTATCGCCTTCTGTGTGACAGCTTAATATTATGGCAGCGCGAATATGCGCGATAGCTTGAGTTATCTGCGACCAAATAATCGCAAATTTCTTACGTTGTTATGTGCAAATCGCTGTTCGCGCCGCAATTACGTTATCGCGATTTAAGACAGACTCGTCATTTCGCAATGATGATTTTGCATTATTTATGAATCCTTGTAATTATAACATTACGGTATATTCAACGGTATACTAATTAAAAGGATAGGTTTGTTTGCAGAAATTAAAGACTGGCAGAAGAAATTGTGATTAAAAAATATCTTCTACGTACCAACGCATGCGTGTAACTGTCGGGCTCAACTGATTTATATTTACGGCGTGGCGTGCGATCGAACCTTTCGAAATCGAATTAATTCATTCGATCGTGTCAATCCGCCTACGGATGTTTTTATGCCAATTCGTTGATTATACGATCGTTGAGTACATTAGTGGACGCGATTTATTCGTATATCCTAAGGGCACGGACATGTTTTGTTGCTGCAGATCTAAGTGCGTTAGTTAGCAATGTATTAATTATAAATTCAAGCAGAAAAAGAAACAAATCTTCATACAGGTTTTCACCGAGTCTACCTCGTGTCACATGCATGACATTAGTGCGTTCTTAACTCGATTACTGCATTAGAGCGAGCGTTTACATGTAAAGTCCAACGTTATCCAACTCTCAATTTTCCATGCATATAGAGTGAATCGGAGCAAGGTGGAATAAATTGACCACGCGTACAAATATTAAGTTTCTCGACGCTTTTTTATTTCATCGCTAATTATACGCAAAAGTCTTCTTAGAGTTTCTATAATTTTTTCACTTTGTTTTCAAATTGTTTATTACTTTTAGTGAAAAAAAGGATACTTATTAATAACACAGATCAATATTATTTTACAAATTATCACAAGCATGATAAGAAGCTTAACATTTGTAGTTATAAAGCAAAAAGTCATTATATATACATATGATTGAGTCTGGATCTTGGTGCCTAATAATATTTCTATGTAAATTTTATTAAATACTTTTAGTTATATAAACTGCGCGTTGATAATCGTAGAATTTAAAACGCAAACTGAAGCAGAAACATTAATATTACAAATTAAATTGAGTGTTAATTTAGTAATGATGCTAATAAGCATCTTAAAACATTGCAGAACTAATTGCAAAATGTATCCTGGCTGAGATAATATTTTTCGCAATAAGTTCTACAGTGTTTAAAATGTTTATTAGAGTCATTATTAAACTGACGATTAATTTAATTTGTGATTCTAATATTTCAGCTTCAGTTGGAGATTGCATTTCAAATCCGATGGTAATCGGCGCACAATTTATCTAATTAATTGAAAGAGACATTTCAAATATTAAGCATCAAGGTCCAATTTCGACAGTGATCTTTACTCATTTCATTTATTCATATAGCAATCTGTTGTAACTTATTGCATAGTTATTCTTTTTAATGAATTTTTCCTATATTAATGTTTTGAAATAACGAAGAAAAATCCGCGAGACTTTGATCACAGTACAAATTCTACATACATGGAAAAAACGATTTTGTTAAAATATCTAAAAATTAGATAGATTTGAAAACATTTGTTAAACTATCAAAATAATTATGTAGGAAACTCAAGCATGATGAACAATGCTGCAAAAATTTTTGAGATTCTAGTAATCAGTTTGAGCGGCTTTATGTAATTATTTTGATAGTTCAACAAAATTTATTTTTAGATTTTTATCCAGCTAAATTTTTAGATTTTTAGATATTTCAACAAAATTGTTCTTTCCCAGTATAATATCTTGCATTCATATGTAAAGATTTTGTTTGCTGTAAGTTATCTCTTCTGTGTGTAAATGTTATTCCGAATTATGAATTTGAAATAATACTCAGTATTTTTTATTTATCAAGATAAATTACAAGGATCTATCCTTTAAAATCAACTGTTGACAAAAGATTTCATTATCTTGAACATGAATGTACGACCTTTTTTATGTTTTCATTCAATTCTACCATTCTATTATCACTCGTTTCCGGCTGTTTCTGCGTAGTCATTTTTCAGGTTTTTTAAATTGCTCTTTTAAGAATGTGCAAAGTACAAAAATGAATACGGAACTTCCACTTATAACAAATAGCTAACGACTTCTATTGTAACACTAAATAGTTTAATATACAACCTGAGTCTTTTTAGAAATCTTTCTTTTTAAACGTCGACAAAGAATTATATCTTGTTTTTTACAGACCCGACATGTCAGAAGATTCTTAATGATTGTTACATTAAGGCAATCTATTCATTTCTCTCAAATTCCATGACTTCTCGCACTGGTTCCGAGGTGCAGGTCTCTGCAATCGCATAAACGACTTGAGGTTTCGTAATTCTTATTACAGACTCAGATGAGTTAGTGGAATGGCGTTAGATTAACAAACGCGTTTCATTGTCAGCGTGTGGGTAGCTCCATTCATTCATCCACCCACCGAAGCACGGAGTAATTTAAGAGATTGTAAAGGTTATCTACACATTCGCATACGGGCGTGCGCGATCCCAGAATCACGAGTAATCGATCGAAAAAGGACGTTCATTAATTTCATGTAGGCGTAGAATTGACTTTAGCGACAAGATAAAATCGAGCGAGGGTGTATCTCCCGCTGTTTGCATCGAAAG